TTGTTCTCTACAATGTAAGCCTCATATGAGCTCCTCTCAAAGACAGGCGCGTTGTCATTCACGTCAGAGATCTGTAAGGTGAGAGTGACGCTGCTAGAGAGGGAGGGCACTCCCTCATCAGAGCAGGTCACTGTGATATTATACTCTGATGCTGTCTCTCGGTCTAATTCATTGTTTGATACGATACTATAAAAACCATTTGATGTATTTTCAATGATTAGAGGAACATTCTCGCTAAGAAAACATTTAACCACTCCGTTATTATCCGAGTCAGCATCATGCACATTCATCACAGCGACAACTGTTTGTATCGCAGAATCTTCCGGTATAGACTGTGTAGTTGACATCAAATCTATTATTGGAACATTATCATTCACATCAATTATGTCAAATAGTATTTTGCAGGAGTCAGTGAGCCCACCTTGATCTCTTGCTTTAACATTTAGCTGATAATGTTTTGATGTTTCATAATCTACTTTTCCAATCAAACGTACCTCACCACTTTCACCGTGTATTTCAAATAAATCCAGAATCCCGTCAGTGGTACTCGATAAGGAGTACGTTATTAAGCCATATGCGCCTTGATCTACGTCTCTTGCAGTTACAGTCATTAATGAAGTTCCCTTCGGGGTGTTTTCCATTAAACTCGCTTTATATGTTGACTGCGTAAACACTGGGGCATTGTCATTCGCATCTAATACAGTTACGTGAATTTTCACTGTCCCTGATAGCTGAGGTTCACCTCCGTCGAAGGCGGTTAGTGTTAGAGTCAGATGCTCTTGTTTTTCACGATCGAGAGGTTTTTCCAAGACCATCTCAACCTCCTTTTCTCCATCTGCGTTTCCGTTGAGATTTAAAACGAAGTTATCTGTTGGATTAAGGGAGTAGCTCTTGAGCCCATTTCTTCCAACATCAGTATCTAATGCTTTCTCTAATACAAATTTTGCCCCCCTGACAGCCGACTCACTTATCTCAAATAACATACTGTTCATTTTGAATATAGGAGCGTTGTCGTTTATATCTGTTATTTCTACTGTTACACGATAGAACTCGATTGGGTTTTCCAAAATAATTTGAAACTGTAAAGCGCATGGACTCGTCTGTTTGCACAACGCCTCTCTGTCTATTTTCTCCCTGATGAGAAGGAGGCCTCTTTCTTTATTCAGCTCGATGTATTCGGCGCCGTTTCCAACATGCAAGCGAGCTTTCCCTGTTTTCAGCCGTTTTAAATCCAAACCTAAATCTTGTGCTATGTTTCCGACCAGCGAGCCTTTCGACATTTCCTCGGGAATAGAGTAGCTGGCCTGCCCGTGTACGGAACAGAAGGAGAGCGTCGAGAGAAACAAAAGCACTTGCCGTCTCATTGTTCCGTTCAACGGTGCTATACCGTCACAACGAATCAGAAAATAATCCACAGAAAAGACAGTCGTTATCCACAAAGAGCGGGACTGGGATAATAAAAAACGTCAGTGAAAATGTCCGTGTAAATTATTCCAACTCTTTGGTCCGTGTGTACTCTTCTCGGTGACTGAAATAGTGTGTTGTGCCGTCTTTACATCCCACAGCAACTAAATGATCTGGGAGGTGCTGCTGAAATCTGCAGTGGCACTAACACACACTGGCCAACAGCGTCGCTAAGAGTGCAAAATAAGAAACTGCAGAATACAGGGGTTATTAAGGAGCCAATGAACTGTACGTTTTAAACATGCTACTCAAAGAACTTGTCACAGTAGCACTGTGTAGATTCAAACAAAGGACAACACGAATTACTCCTGCCAGGACATATTGCATGAAAAAGAAAACACATTGCACCATAGTGACCCATTGTCTCACTCGCTCTCTCACTCGCTCGCTCGCTCAGTTGTGTGTGCATTTAGGAATCAGTGAAAATCAAAAGAGCAATGGAAAAACAGAATGACAGATGCCCTACACGAGAATCTGCCTCAACCTCATATATCTAGTGCTGTCCATGGTGCTGAACTAAATAAAACCACACAGGAAAATCAACTAAAAGGACGAACAGAAACATTTTTTGAGTTGGTTTTGTTCTATGTCTTTACTCAAAGCAATGGAAGATATCAATATTACTCATTAAAGACGGACATCACCTCTAGAGGAGAGTTGAGTTGAACCCTTACCCCTTACTCTAACCCTACATAAGGTGAAAGATAAAAAAAGATGGAACAGTAACATTGATGTTCTGTGTGCTGTCCATGGTACTGAATCTAGATGAACTAAAAGTTAAATAAACCCCGATTTTCAGCAAGCTGAGCTAAAAGAGTATATGCAACTGAAACACTGAAAATGGTCTAATTCAAAATAACTGGCATGGAGACGAATGGAAGAGTCTATAACTAACCTCTAGAGGAGAGTCTGGTTCATCCAGGATGCTCTTTTCATTATGTATCCGCTGCATCGTCCCTGTAGAACTGGGGTCCATTATCAGCACGTTCTGACTACCAGCTCTGCCGAACTTACAGTCACTCTTTCTGGAGTCAGTCGTCCTGCA